AGGAAGGTCAGCTGCCGTCATCGAACTATCACGTGGCGTCACAAATTGATGTGCGAGGCCGAGGGGGCTCAAGGCGGTCTGCAGGTGGTCTCGTTTGTTGTCTCAATCCTCCATACAGGCGGTGACGACCCGTATCAATCGGCTGTACCTTACCGTACAGGAGTCCATTGCAACGCTAATTGGAGATCCCTCTGGATCCAAGTTGCCGCTGTTGCACTTTTGCGCCAAAAAACAATGGAAGGGCAGAACCAAGGCCTGAAAAGAAGGTAAGCTAGCCCCATCAGACCCAAGCATTGCGCGCACGGATTAGGAATTTTCCCAAAGGAAAATTCTTTGCGGACTTTCTTCTCCTCAGGAAGAGCTAAACAGAGTACGGAGTACAATAATGATGGATGTGTGTGCTGTGTACGAGTATCCCGTTCACTTCAGTCAAAGCTCCACTTGCCGAGAGAAGGAAGAAAAAGAACAAAAAGGGAAATTAAAAGGGAAAAAAAATTCAAAAGGATAAAAAGTCAAAAGGGGAGCACGCCCACCAATCCTTGGTTGATGCCCCTTGTCGCAATTCATCATCCCCTACAAGGTACTTGGGACATGTGGACGGATGTTGTGCTGTCGCGCGCAGTCAATATGGTTCAATTCATTCACTTCTCCCCGTAGCTACCTTTTTGGGACAAGTTTCAGAACAGACAATCGAGTCATCGCTACAGTTAGTGCGCTACGGAGTACGTACTAGAGAAGACCCTTCTGGACATCAGCTCACTCCGAGGGCGCATGGTTCTTTTTTTCCCCGCACTGCAGTTTAATTCCGGCCTTTGCGGGGGCATTGCATCATCCGGCTATCCTTGCCGGTCAGCGCATTGAACCTCCTGAGTATCTATCTAGGAGAGGTTTTGGGTAGGTGAGTTGAGATTGAAAGCAGTGCTACTGTCTATCACGATTTCACAATATACAGACCAGTACGTAGCAGATAATATGACATGAGCAAAAAGCCCACATCAAAGATATAGTTAAGTTCTAGACGCGGTGCACTGTCCTGTTGGCAGGGGAATTTCACTGTCTCACTGGCGAATGGCCAGCGGCTGCCGCCCTACCCATTACCTAACAGTTTCCTCCTTAGGCTCGCAAGCTCTCCATCATGATGGATCAACTGAGCCAACTTCAGGCTTTTACTGCACCTCAGTACCTTAACTGAGCACTTTCGGCTTTGAACACCCAACTTCCACTGTCTTCTTGATCCGATTGATCGTCCCGATTGACAGGATCTCGGCACATGCTGTCGGTCACTGTTACGGGTGGCCGACCTTGATCACGCCATGAATCCATCCATTCTTCCATTTTACCGACTGCGCTTACTCTGCCACAGCATGTCAAGGCGCTGGAGATGGAGTGAGTAGTTAAGTACTATGAGTAAGTAAATGGGCTTGTCTCCGCTCTACCACACCTTAACTCACGCAACTGATAGTATGTGGAGTAGACATATCTCGTATGTCGATTTAAAGTGGCACCTTCTTACCCCATAATAACGACCAACCTCACACGCCCAACTCACTTTACTCGGTGCTAGACTGTTTGGTATTTGCTTTGATATTCTAACTTGTAAGACCCCTGGCTCTGACTGTGCTTAGGGTATACTCAGAGTCTGCCATTCAGCCACTTAACCGGCCGGTAGTCGGTGGTAACAAGTCGGCGCATCAATTACCTACTCCGGAGTAGTTGGCCTAACACTGCGCATACCTCTGGAACTCCTGTTCCGAGCCTCGCTTCCCGCGGGGCCAGGCGTGACAATGTCTCTTTTGGGGGGGGCGGAATTCGCCGCCCCTTCGAGCTTTTAGTCCTGGTACTCCGTACCTGATTTAGCATCGAACTTTCAGACAGCTATTGCTCAATACATGCATCGAATGCAGCGATTTCTCCGGAGTACGGAGTTCTGAATCAAGCACGCAACTTCAAGCTTGTTTTTAGTTTCAGCACGCCCGCTTACCTTTCGCCCCTGTGAAGCATTCGCGAGTCGTGCAAGAGCTTGGGCCCCATCTCTTTGCAGAATCATAGACGAATACAAGGCACGTTCATCATTTAAGAAGGCATGTTCGTTCATGCTCCCCTTCCATTGGGCGGTTTAACGGCAAACCCCTCCAAGCGCAACAGGCGTGAGTGGTTTTACTCGTACTTAGCCGGGCGCCGGACTGCGTGCAATTTTCTCTAGCCGGATCGCTGCCGGTCGGTCGCCTTCGAGTCCACTTCATCGTGATGACTCTTAACACTAGCACTGCTTAGCGCCTCAGACGACTAGAAAAATTTTCTTGCCGGTCTCCATTCTCTTCCAAGGCCCTCAGCGGACCGCCGGCGCCAACCATTGGGGCTCTCTTATTTTCAGGTTAGACCACCCGAGAAGATCAAAGGACATCGGCGACTGCCGCGGCGGACAATGGATGCTACCCTTTCCCAAATTCCCACCCGGACCTCTTCTGTCCCCAATCGTTTCCCCGGGAGGGTTCTCAAATTCTGAATTGAGGAGGGTGGGAGGCGCGGGAGATCCATGGAAACCTGTCCGCGGAATTGCGGTGCAACTCTGTGGTAACTGCGGTTCAGGGCTGCCACCAGCGCGGACCGCCGTCCGGGGGGCAATTCTCACAGCCACTGAGTTTTACGGCCCTGAACATTATTGCAGCCGGTGTGATTAACTTAGGTTAACGGCATTATAGGCGCGGATCTTATGATCTCGGTCATGATTGAAGGCCATGGTCATGAAACATACGCCCTGTTTGTTGTATGCGTAGCTACGTAGTGCCAATAGAGGACCCTGCAGGTGAAGAATTACTGCAGAGTCTTAGCGCCCCTTTGAGGGATTTGCAACATTGACGCGTTGCCGGTCCACCAGAGAGTGTGACTACTTTGACCGCCGACAATTCGTAATTTATGCGACGGGGCTAACCCTGCAGGCACGTCTCTGACACAGGTTCTAGAATCGACACTCCGGAGCAGTACTACCCAAGGCTCTGTTTCTATGGTAGGGTCTACCATACCGTGTGAATAAGATGATGGTTTGATCAGTCATCACAGCTCTCATGTATATGGCTGTCTACTTGATATGAATCTTGGGACCAGGAATTTGGCGCGGTTGGCTTGATTCAGTGCAACGGTAGGTCGACGAGCTAGAAACAGGGGTTCTCAAACTGTAGTCGTCCTAATAACATCAGTCAGCCCTATCGTATCCGCTATCAAATGTCGATTGTGCACATCCCTCCATAGATTAGCTGGTGTTGATCTTCTCATAAGTTGTTGAAACCCAACTCAATAAAATGGCACCTGCTTTCCATGTTCATGTGAGCTTATGGCAATATAGTTGGTTGCTTCGAGTATACTTTTCTCCACACATCTTAGGTCATTGTGGGTTACGGCTTGGCTGCCATTTGATATATAGTCATTCTGATATTTCGAAGACACTCCATTACCAGGTATTGGTCAAGGCAAATAAGGTAAACTTAACAAACTACAGACGTTAAGAAGCCAGCGAGAGTCTCTGACATGGTCTCTACGATTGAATTTGTGTACCTTCAGCATAAACGCTGTTGTGGCTGTCGAGAATGTCACGTGCCGTAGCTCCATGAAGCTCCGACGATCGACGATTGAACTTCCCGACACTCGAGAGATCCCCTATTCCTACACTACATCCTTGTATTATATGTGCGCAACAACTCCCGCGGTGATGAACGCACCTTTGTTTCAGTGTCATCTCTACTATTAATTTGAACCCAGACCCCAGGTTTCGTTTGCACGAGCCTCAATTGCGTTGAATTGTGAGGTGACGTCTGGATGTCGGGACACCGTGAGCACCTCAGAACCGATCCCATTCGCTTATCGACCACCCAATAGTCGCAGCGTCACACCACTTGCAGCTTTCCCAACTCATTACCTAGAAGACGACCTGGATCGTTCTATCATTACATATCCCACCATGAATACCTCATCCCTGATCACGATCGGTCTCGCGATCTCGGTCGTGTTCATGTTCTGGACCCTGTCTTCGACCACGTCGTCGCCATTTGCTGGGGCCTTCCCTCGCATCTACAACAAACGGATCTGCTTACTGATTGCTCACCCCGATGATGAAGCCATGTTCTTCGCGCCTACCGTTCTGGCCCTCACCAAACAGGAGTACGGCAATCATCTCAAGATTCTCTGTCTTAGTACCGGTACGGTCCCCCCCGGCAGACTTCTCTCATCAATGAAAAGCAAGCCACTAACTCGTCAACCTGCTGTGCAATCTAGGTGACGCAGACGGGCTCGGACACATCCGCAAGAAGGAACTCGTGAAGAGCGCCCTACAACTCGGCCTGCGCAGCGAATCGGACGTCTACGTCGTGGACGACCCCACTCGATTCCCCGACAGCATGACCGCGCACTGGACGGAGAACGACGTCGCCTCGCTCCTTGCGTCGGCGTTCGCGCCGGAACCGTCGAAGAAGTCGGGAGGCGCGGCCCCGACAGCGACCATCGACGTGCTCATCACATTCGACCAGGGCGGCATCAGCAATCACCCGAACCATCGATCCCTGTACCACGGGGCTCTGCACTTCCTCCGCGCGCTGGTCAAGGGCAAGTCCGGGTACAGTTGCCCGGTCACCCTCTACACGCTGACGACGACCAACCTCGTGCGCAAGTACGCCGGCGTGCTCGATGCGCCCTTCACCATGGTCCGGGGTGCCTTGAGCTCGATCACGTCGGGCTCCGGGGCCCGCGGCTCCAGGGACCAGCTCCCTTCTCGGCTTCTGTTCGTGAGCTCCGTCAATGAGTGGTTGACGGCCCAGTCCGCTATGGTCAAGGCCCATCAGAGTCAGATGGTGTGGTTCCGTTGGGGTTGGATTACGATCGGACGCTATATGGCGGTAAATGATCTACGGCGAGAGGAGATCTGAGCGACAGCTCGAAATTGATATACTGGGACGTCTGGGGATGCGGGCCGTATAGATATTTCGATCCACACACGCCTAATACTCGCCAGGCCATAAAAGTTCTATATATATATATATATATATATATATATATAGAAGTAGTGGTCCGTCATCAATATCGATGTTTTAGGTATGACGCACCCGTGGTACGTGAAGACTTTGTCGGTAGTCTCTTCTTTCACGAACTAGGCTAAGGTGATCTTAAGCAGGAAACAACTCGTAACGTGTCACTATGGACCGGGTAGTCTGAAAAACGCTCAAATCACATGCACCGTGAATTATCATACAGCCCAGACCAGTACGCAAAGGACTAGGTTGCTGAAGATTAACGCTAGGAAACGCGTCTGAAGCCTAGAAAGAAAGAGCTTCTAAGCAGGCTCGGTTTTCAGACAAGGCGGGGAGTTCGCCGTAGGACTCAGTGAGAAGTTCTACATTGCACTGTGCTTCAATTGCGGCTCAACATGAATAGTTCGTCTTCTGCGGGACGATACTTCTCCAGAACCGGCTCGAATAGTCGCTTAAGGGATGCAGACGTTGGCTCGATATCTGGCCCGAGACGCAAAATAGCTTCCCAGAAGAACTCGTCGTCAAGATAATTGTCCTCGTCACCCGGCTCGACATCATTATAGGGTGTGGGTCGCCGAATCGGTATTCGCTTTCCGCTGTAACGGTACCGGCTACCCCAGCGAACTTTTCCATCGAAATGCACTACTCCTCCACGAGTGTTCAAGTGGAAATCCTCCGGGAGGAAGTCGCGCCACTCCTCCAGCGCTACGGGGAACAGTGACCTAAACCATGCAGGGTTGTCTCGACCCGTCCACAGCTTGTTGATCAGCATGTTTCTTGCGAGCTTTCTCACCAGCTCAGTCTGTTGGGCTGTGTGCAGTCTGAGGATATCATAGGTGTGTATTGCGTCGGCCAAATCTCGCGACTGCCAACCTGCGCGGCTTTTATGTAGCCTGCGCCGCTTCATAAACGCCGCGATGGCTGACCTCGCCTCCCATCTCCCTTGACGTGTCTCCATCAGGGTCTCATATGAAGCATACATTTGTGGCATGTAGTTCTTGAGAATACGACTGTCCCACGCTAACTTGGCGATTTTGAGGCGCGCCTCAATTGTGGGGCGCACGTTGTATGGATCTGTGGTCATTGTATCGAACAGTTGAGTCACGAAACGTGGCTTTACCCTCGTGTGCGCCTGTTCCTCGGCGTCGGGGCCGAATTTGCGACGGGACAGGACAAACGTCCACTCGAACAATTCAAGCCAAACCTTCTCGGGAATGGGTATATTGTAACGGCCTGCGATGAATTCCACTAGATGAAGTGCAGCTTGAATTTCGTTATTTGTTCCGAAGGCGTGAGCTACCGCGAACAGAAGTCGACCTGTGGGATGAAGGGATGAAGCAGGGTCGGTGTGGTAGATATCGGATGCTCCCGACTGGTCGCCTGCCGTCAACAATTCGTCGACATCTATGTTCCAAGCGGCTTTCAGAACAGCCTTGATCCCCGGAACCCAACCTGTGCGACAGGATGCAAGCATCATGTTGACAAAGGTGGTCTCATCCGGCGGGACGGATTTGGCCATCATCTCCGCGAATATCACTCGTACCGACTTGAGCACGCTGCGTGCTGCGGTGCCGTATCCCGACCAGCCTGAATCGATGGGCGCATTTTTTCGCATCTTATATGAGAAACGGGTCACTCTCAGGCGGTATTTTCTCAACCCGGTAAACGTCTCGTCCCAGATCAAGGCCTCCATGAGATGATTATAACACTGGGTATCTGGCTCCACATTACGATCTTGCATGGCCTGCCATGCGCTGCGTGCCATCTGAGCATCGCCCATGGCGGCTGCGCAAGCGAGCAAGTGGGTGAACTCCGCCAGGCCTGTGGAAACCCTGAGACGAATTATTTGTGCGAGCTTGCTGGCGAATTCGTCGAAGATTTCCTGCAATGGCTTGATATTCATGCTCCGTTCCGCGGTTGGGTGGAGCGCTCGGATAATGTCTCGATGGGGCTCGATGAAGTACGCTGGAGAGAGAAGCAGGAAGGCCTCAACGAAGGTGGTTTCTGGCATAGCTCCTACCAGGCTGCTGAATCGAGGGTCAGTGAGCGCATTCATCACCAAGTCCGGTTGGCCGCTTTGAAGAATCGAGATGAACTCCGTTTGCAAGGTGTCTCGTAGTGGATCATCGCGTTGTTTCTCTGGGGGACTGTCGAAGTCCAGCAAATCCGTCGAACTTTTTATCCCATTGTGGCGGTAGTCGTACTTGTCCAAGCAGTTTTCCTTGACAATTGGCTTTAATTTCTTTTTGGTCGGCGGCCTAGTCCAGACTCTCACCGATCTCGACGGGCTCGTAGGATTCCGAACTATGAGAAGTGGAGACGGATAGCGAAGCTTGGTTGGCCGGGAAGGACGATAAGAGGACAAGACCCCCAAGCGAGTGCAAGACAGACGATCACTTGGTTGTAGAAATCGCAACATCGCGCTTGAAAACTGTCAAGAAAGGAGAATGGCTGTGATAAAGCATGGGGTCAGATTCCGGGGAAAGAAATGAGAAGAGGGGGTGGCAGGTCAGCCAATATTCATAATTCATTTATTCAATCAACTGTTGCGGAGTAAACTGAGGAGTCGGCGGTTGTTGTGGTCTTGGCGGGAAGCTGGAAAGAATCCCTGCCAGTCTCTTTCTTTCAAACATCCATCCATCCACTCAACGATCATTCATGTTCCCGCGGGTGACACTTTGACAGCGAGTCGCACAGTCGCCCAATCCCTCTCTCCCCCCCCCCCCCCCTGGCTGCAGCTCTTTCATTGATTGCTTGAATCTTGACTGGACGCCTCCCGACCTTTAGCTTGCGTTCACTCATTTCGTCTCTCCCCTCCCTCCCCTCTTTCGCAATCCTCCCGCCCCCAATCCCTCCTCCACCTCCTCCCTCGATATGGCCGACACTGAGGATGCGGGCACTTCGTCGGTGTCCGAACCCCTCGACCTGGTGCGCCTGTCGCTCGATGAGATTGTCTTTGTGAAGTTGCGCGGTGACCGTGAGCTCAAGGGCCGTCTCCATGTAGGTCCTCCCCGTATTGTGCTTAGGAAGGCCAATTCGAGGCGACTAATTTGTATCAATTTCGCGCTTGCGATAGGCCTACGATAGCCACTGCAACCTAGTCCTGGGTGATGTGGAGGAAACCATCTACGTGGTCGAGGAAGACGAGAACGAACAAGAGACGATCCGAGTACGTCCGCTCCCCACTGCCTGCAGGGCCCGACACGGTGTCTAGCTGCTGGCCATATTGTTGCGATCGCAGGCTAACTCATTTTCGCATCTCTTCTGTCTAGACGATCAAGAAGCAGGAGGAAATGCTTTTCGTTCGAGGTGCGTTCCACACATATACACACACTCTTCTCTCCCCGATGACGTCGGCTACACAGTTTTTGCGCGCGCCGTTTCGACTAACGTTCCTGCTCATAGGCGATTCGGTTGTTCTGATCTCCCCTCAAGCATGATGAGATGAAATTTCCGAGAAGACAAAAGGACCAATGGATCTGATCGGAGGGCTGGGAAGGCCATGCAGCGTATACGTCTTCTCGCTGCTACCCCATGTCGGCCACGGATCAGTATGAGACCACGAACTACCAGGCGATGCTACAGGGTTCCCAGACGTAGAACTCTAATTGCAAGCAATGCACTATACACGTATATTCTGGGCAGATGGTAGATAGAGGTGGGAAAAGGTCGTGTTTCAGATCAGGACAGGGCAGGATGGGATGAAGAGCATCATGCCATGCAGCACTGCAGCAGCAGCAGCCGCCACTATTCAGGAGGACAAGTTCTGGCATCTGCCCTGGCATGCAACTTTAAGTTTTAGTATGTGGTAATTGTGCTGAAAGCAAAAGAATCCAAATGTACACATGCACCTGTCAGCTGGAATGCTTCTAATGATTTCTTCTCTATTCTTATGACTCGACTGCAGTCAGGTATGAGTAGTAGTTAGTGATGAGAGTGGGGGATGAGTCAAGACAGCCGCACGAGGCGGGCGGCGCGATGACTCGCACTCCGTCGGTGGCCGATTATCGATAAAGCTTTCCCCGGGCCTCCCGTCCATCTCCATCACCCTCTTTCCCCTTCACCTCTCTCGATCTACCTAGCTTCTATCAAACACCCTATTCTTCCTATTGTGTCCTCTTCCCATCGGTCATCCTTATCATTTACTCCTCGATAACTACTGGCCCAGTCCTTCGACGCTCTTCCACCTAGCTATTCAGACGGGAATTATGATCACTCGAATAGGTGTTTGAGTGCGCCAGAGGCGAACCTTGTCCGTTCCATCCGACCGAAACAACAATTCGCATTTTAGCTGCAGATAGACACACACGTATTTGATTCATTCTTCCCAACATAGCTTTCTTATCTTTATTCTAGCGACGAAAAAGAAAAAGGGAAAACCTACAACCATGCCACCGACGGGACCGAAACTCACCCTGGAGGAGCGACGGAGAGGCGAAATCGTGCGTTGTTTTGTGCAGTTTCCGCGCAATTCCCCAGCCCCCTGCTCTTTCTTCTGTCTCACACTAAGCCCCGTCTCCTGCGCAGGCACTCAGCGAGTTCGCCGAATACGCCGAGAAGCAGCAGGCCCAGCGCTCGGCCCCGCCTGTGCCCAGCGACAGTGGATACGAGACGGCCAGCGTGTCTCGCATCCACGAGGATCACGCCGAGCTGGACATTCTCGACCAGCTGGCATTGAGCGACACGCCCAAGACCGTCAAGCTGAAGGAGGTCCTTCTCGGCACCGGCGAGCAGCCCGACGACGACCTGCAGGTGCTGGCGAGCCTGCTGCAGTCCCGGATCGACGAGGGTCACGGCGAGACGCTTTTCGACCTGGGCCTCGAGGACGGCGGCGAGTCGATGCAGTTCGACCTGGCGCAGTGGCACACGGCCATCCGGCGCCTGCGCGAGGCCGCGGACACGCTCCCCGCGCACTGCCGGGTCTTGGTCACCTACAATGTCGGCGGGCCCGAGGAGTCGCGCGTCAAGAACGAGCGGACCAAGGGCTCGTGGGGGAAACTCCTGATCCGGCAGCCGGCGGGCACCGTGGAGGAGATGGCGGAGATCCGCGTGGCGGTGGTGGGCAACGTCGATGCCGGCAAGAGTACCATGCTCGGGGTCCTCGTGAAGGGGAACCTGGACGATGGGCGCGGCAAGGCCCGGCTCAACCTGTTCCGCCACAAGCATGAGGTCGAGAGCGGCCGGACCAGCTCCGTGGGCATGGAGATCATGGGGTTCGACAGTCGCGGCGATATCGTCAGCAGCTCCCAGGGCCGCAAGCTCTCGTGGGAGGAGATCGGGAAGCGCTCCGCGAAAGTGATTGGCTTCTCCGATCTGGCGGGCCACGAGCGGTACCTGCGGACGACGGTCTTTGGCATGCTGAGCAGCAGCCCCAACTACTGTCTTCTGATGGTCGCCGCGAACAACGGGCTGATCGGTATGAGCAAAGAGCATCTGGGCATTGCTCTGGCTCTCAACGTGCCGGTCATGGTCATCGTCACCAAGATCGATATCTGCCCGCCCCAGATTCTCCAGGAGACGCTGTCCCAGCTCAGCAAGATCCTGAAGTCGCCGGGCGCGCGCAAGATTCCGGTGTTCATCAAGGACATGGAGGAGACCATCAACACAGCGACGCAGTTTGTCAGCCAGCGGATATGTCCTATCTTCCAGGTGTCTAACGTGACTGGAGAGAACCTCGACCTCGTCCGGACCTTCTTGAACATTCTCCCCCACCGGGGTCACTACAATGTTGATGCGCCGTTCGAGTTCTTGATCAACGACACCTTCTCGGTTCCCCACGTGGGTACGGTCGTGTCTGGGGTGGCCAAGTCGGGGGTGATCCATGCGGGTGACACCGTACTGGTCGGGCCCGACTCGCTTGGTCAGTTCACTACGACGACGATCAAGTCCATTGAGCGCAAGCGAATCCCGGTGAATGCTTGCTTCGCCGGCCAGTCCGGCTCGTTCGCTCTGAAGCGCGTCCGGAGAAAGGAAGTCCGCAAGGGCATGGTGGTTCTCAAGAAATTGGAGCAGGCCCCGAAGGTCTACCGGGAATTTGTTGCAGAAGGTATGTTGGGGGTCTACATCTTTTCGTCAAGCTGTGCCGTTACTGATGTGATGCAGTGCTTATCCTCTCCCACGCCACGACCATCAAGCCACGTTATCAGGCGATGCTGCACGTCGGCGCCGTGAGTCAGACCTGTTCCGTCATCGACATTGATCGTCCATTTATTCGGACTGGAGACCGTGCGTTGGTTGCGTTCCGGTTTGTCCAGCGCCCCGAGTTCCTCGCTCCGGGAGATCGGGTGCTTTTCCGTGAGGGAAAGACCAAGGGTCTGGGAATTGTCAAGAGCGTTGGCTATGATCCCAAGAACCCTCTGAACCCCGAAGCTAAAAGCGCAGGGGACGCGAGCAACCCGACATGATCTCAGCGTGTATATCAGCTCGGGAATATCGGCGGTCTTGCGACGGAATTCGCCACGACCGTTGGAGTGGCCGAGTGGATGGAGCCCTTGCAGCGACGCTGGGCTTTTTTTTTCTCATAAATGCATTTTGATTCGCTTCCTTGATAAATAAAGGTGTTTTAAATGCATTGTTCGGGTTAGTTCGGGCTGTTTTCTTGTTTTGACTGGGGGCGGTTGGCGGTTGATCTGGCTGGGTGGTTCCCAAAAGTACTCATAGCTTCCACATGAGCCAAGAATGTGGGTGAGATGACACATTCTTCGCCCGCCGTGATACTCATAGCTCCAATTTACTTCTGCAATTGACTTTGTCGTCCTCCACCTTATCTCCAATTTCTGGGTGGTTGTCCGGATATTGACCAGTTGGCCACGGTTCACCTCCCCACGTGAGAAGGACATTGGATGACGTCAGAGGGGAGTGATGACATCGCGGCCGATGATCTGCGGTACGTAGTAGACAAAGTGAAGTCGACTGGCCACCCAGCTGTCGTCGAGCCACTGACGTACCAACCTGGAGCGGTGCTGAATGGGGTGGTCGGACGTTTAAAACCCCCCGGATTTAATTGAGCTGAGGTTTGAGAGGTGGTAGTTCCACTTTCAGCTACTGTTACTTTATACTGAGTCCTACCGCCAGCTTATACTTCACTTCGGTCACACAAAGCATCTCACACCCACACACACACACACACATTTCTCAACTACCAATCCAATTTACATGACTTCCACTCCCATCTAGAAAGAAGCGTACTGTACCCAAAATGGAGACTCTCAACCGCACCTTCAACAACGCCACCACCGCCCTCTGGAACGAGTTCCAACCCGGCGAACAGCAAAAGCAACAGCTCCAACCGCACGGCGACGAGCCCCTGTCCGGAATCCAGGGAAAGGGCACAGCGACTGATCCGTACGATGGCGGGAACCGTGATGGTGAGTTTAGTCCCACTTGACCAGACACAGCAGGAAATTCCGCCCACGCATCCCGTGTGCCATAATCATCCTTCCCCCCCCCCCTGGGTGCTCAATACACGCAAGAACTAACCCCAAGGCAAAAGACCAACCCGGCGCCCCCCGCACAAACGCCAACACCGCCGTGATCCCCGAGCCCCTCGTCTCCGTCACGGGGACCTCCGCCCACGACCACGCCAAGAACCCCAAGTCGCCCAGCAACGCCGACGTGGCTCTGAAGAGCGTCATCGTCGACGAGCCCCTGCAGCAGCAGCAGCAGCAGCAACCCCCAAAGAAAATGGAGACCCCCGACCCGTTGACCGCCGCCGCGCCTACGGCTGCTGCTGAGGCGGCCGGCGCGCCGAGTAGCGGGTCGCATGGCGCGAAGCAGCTGGCTGCATCTGGGGCGGGGGTGGGGTTGCCGGCGGGGAAGACGCAGATGTCGAGTACCGGTGGGGTGTCGGAGCAGAGGGGCAGTTTGCCTGCTACGACGTCAAAGGGTCAGGTTCCTTCCTATGTTGGGGTGTCTGGGGCTGGGGCTGGGGCTGGGCCTGCAGCTGCAGCTGGAGCTGGAGAGACGCTCGCTATCCGGGAGAAGGAGAAGGAGAAGGATGAGATCCTGCACGAGAATAGGGGACTCCCTGCCCCGGCGGGTATGGGGCCTGAGCAGAAATCCTCTTCCACTGGTGCTGCTGCTGGCGCTACCCCCATCACAGCCGGCGGCAGCACCGGCACAGGCACAGGCGCCCTCCAGACCCGAGACACGCCCGCGACCATCCCTGACTCCAGCATCTCCGCCGACGACAAGGCTTATAGTTCATCCAAGGCGAAACCCTCCACCTCCACCGCCACCTCCACATCTCAAGCCCAGCAGCAGCAGCTCAAACCCACCACCACCACCACCACCACAACTCCAGCCACACAACCCACCAGCGCAGCAGGTGCAGCAGATGCAGCAGCATCAGACACCGAATCCGTCGGCCCCACCAACGAAACCAAGGAAGCTCGCGACTCGACCACATCTCCCACAGCGCAAAAGCACCACGAAACCGAGACAGAGACAGCGACAGCAACAGCGACCGACACGCTGCCCCGCGGCAACACCAAAGTCAGCGAGGAGGCGCTCAAGGGCCCGCAGACCCCGGCGCCGCGCGAGCCGTTCGAGTTCGAGAAGCGGCTGGGCTCGAAGGGGGGTCCTGCGAAGTCTGGTGCGTATCGTATCTTTCGATTGCAAGACTGGGAGTGGTGTTACTGACTTGTGTATAGATGCTGGAGCTGGAACCGGAGCAGCGGACGAGGCCGAGAAGCACGGGAAGGGCCATGGGCAGGGCAAGATGGCGCATTTGAAGGAGAAGGTGGGGAAGGTGCTGCATCATGGGAAGTAAGTAGAAATTCTTAGTGTTGGGGACAGAAAGGTTGGTGAGGATGGAGATGGAGATGGGGGCTGCGTATGATATCATGTCCTGCTACTGCTTAGTTGAATGTTTGATGGGTGGGGATTTGAGGCGTTTGGGTTTGGATTTGTATTAGTATGGGCTTGTTTGTGGATGGGATGCAGTTTATTTTTTGTTGGTAGTCGAATAAGAGAATTTAGATGTGAATCAGCCTATGATCAATAAACTCATTGAAGTATGCATAGTGACATTAGTCTACACCGATCCTATCCAACAAGCCCGAAAATGCAATGGTATCATGTACAACTCCTACCCTACTGTTCCTCCACTTCGTCTCCCTCAAGCACCAGCACCAGCACCAGCACCACACCAGCACCAGCACCAGCACCAGCACCAGCACCAGCACCAGCACCAGCACCAGCACCAGCACCAGGGCACTCACGTGCCCAGGCACTTACGCCCACCTACTCGAACAACAACCGCAACTCCTCAATCCGCTCCTTCTTCTTCTCATCCTCGGACCCATCTCCGCCGACCCGCAAGCCCAACGAGCCCGCGATGTTCATCTTCCGCTCCTGCACCCGCAGCATCCGGCCCTCGATCGAGTCCTTGACCACGAACCGCGTGACCGAGACGTCCCGCAGCTGGCCCATGCGGTGCACGCGGTCGATCGCCTGCGCCTCGATCGCGAAGCTCCACCACGGGTCCATCATGAACACGTGGTTGGCGACGGTGAGGTTGAGGCCCACGCCGCCGGCGCGGAGGCTGATCAGGAGCACGCGGGGGTTGGGGGTGGATGATGAAGCCGAAGGTCTGGGGTTTCGCCCGGGTTTGGCGCTGTCGAGAAGTATGTCTGCCTCGTCCGCGACGTCGTCTTCCTCAGACAGAAACGTTTCGGTCTGGTTGAACTGCGCCAGGGTCTCGGCGCGGGCTTTCTGCGGCATCGTGCCGTCCAGCCGCACGTGCGGGATCCCGGCTCGCGTCAGTTGCGGGGAGATGAGATCCAGGAAACTGGTGAACTGGGAGAAGACGACCGCTTTGTTGTTGGCGGGGAGGCGCGTGATGTGGTTGAGGAGGGAGTGGATCTTGGCGGAGGTGTGTGCGGATGGGGAAAGAGGGTTGATGCGGCGGAGGGAGATGCGTGGTGGTGGTGGCGGCGGTGCTTGCGAGCCGAGCGGCGGCGTGCTGTTGTATAAATCTGTTTCTTCGGTCGTGGGCGTGGACACCGGGGACTGCGACTGGGACGGGTGCCGAATTACCTCGAAGATGTCTTTGGAGGTGACCGGCGCGCGGCAGGAGAAGCAACGCGGTGGTACGCCTTTGTCCGTCTGGTGGCGGATATAGTCTTCGAGACATTTCTTGCACGCACTGTGCCAGCATGCCGTCACGGCGGGATCGATCATGGGCTCTTCAGAGCAGATCGGACACTCCCCGCTGGACTCGGTTTGGATCTGTCGCAGTGCGTGCGAGGTGAATCTGGCTTGAGAGTCTTGGGCCTGCTCGGTGCCTGCTGCTTCGGTGGTGGCTTTGAAGCGGTCGATCAGCTCTTGTAGGTCCATGTCGTCCTTGAGATCACTGGCTCCATCGGCGGCGGCGGCGGCGTCTTCCTCGTCGGCCACAATCGACTTGTTGCGCGTGAGGATGGGGTGACAACATGTCTGACGGAGACGGAGGATCTGTGCGAAAATTGTCGAGTACGACTTCAGTAGGGTGCCGGCTTCAACATTGCTGTTGAAGGTCTGCTTAGCGCGGGTGTAGATTAGGTCGTAGATCTCACGCTCTTGCTCCGGAAGCTCGACCTCTTCGATCTGAATCGTTCTCCGTGGCAGCGGTACCAGGGGCTCACCCTCAGGTGTCTTCATGGTCTTGGTCCGACGGAGGACCAGCGGCTCAAGCACTGTTTGTACGACATTCAACGCGCGCACGTAGTCTTTCGACTCAAATGGCACGGTGATGAATGTTTTCCAGAAGGAAAAGTTGTTCCAGGGCTCGACCTTCAGGAACCGCACCAGACTGAACAGATCCTCCAACCGGTTGACGATCGGTGTGCCGGTGAGGACCCATCGATGACTTGCGCTCAGGTCGTAGCACGCCTTTGCGGATTTGGACTGACGATTCTTGATCATATGAGCTTCGTCGATGATGATCCGAAAGAAGTCCAGAGAGAACAAGCCGCCCGAGCCCATTTGAGACAGGACGGTGGACGTATGGTGACGGTGCTCTGCGAGTACGACTCCGTAACTCGTGATGATCACGTTGGGCGCAGCGGCATTGCCTGCAGCACACAAATCTCTGAGGTTAACATTCTTTTCCGTCCCATAGTACATCAGGACTCTCATCGACCCGGGCTGAGAAGCTTTCAATGATTCACTCTCCCACTGCGCAAGCAGTGATGTTGGTGCAATGACTAGCGTCGTATAAGGGGCAAAAACCCTGCCCGCAGAGGCCTGTGGAAGCCTCACCAAGCCGCCAGAACTCTGGGGCTCATTCCTATGAGCATGGACCAGACTTAGCATCTCGATGGTCTTACCCAGACCCATCTCATCAGCCAAGATCCCACCGAGACAATGTTGCTCCTGCTTGGGAAATTCGAGGGTCAGCATCCCAGAGTACGGATTGACGTAGAAATGGTCCACTCCATCCACCGCAGGCAACTCCTTGTCATCCACATCTTTCGTCGGCCATGAATATTCTTCCCACAGAGGATGCAGAGACTCTTCCCTTGCGGACTCCTTGTTCTTTTCCTTCGCCAGCATCCAGTACAGTGCTTGTCGCTGATACTTCCGCAGGTCCATCGTAAACGTGGCCGGAGGATGCGCTTCTGGCATACTGAAGTCGAACGACTGAGCCTTCTTGTACAGCGTATCAAGCTGGTCCTCTTCCAGCTCCGGGGTTTCTTCCTCTCCCGATGAGTCGTTGTTCGACTGGTTCTCTTTTTTGACCCGGTCATACTGATCGGCCATCTCTGCTGCGCGCAGCAATCCCTCTTTTTTATGCTTCCGGGTCACATCGTTGATGGAAGTCGGTTGGAGACCGATCTCATCGAAGAGCTTCACCAGCGCAACCTGACGGAGCCGCAATTTCTTCTCTTCGACGCTTTCCTTCTCCTCGAATATAGTGGTCGACCTGTTGTCGTCAGTGGTGTCATCGAGGATCTGAGGTTGAAACGCTTCGATGCGCAGATAGCACCACAGCTGCAGATAAATCGTATCGTTCACGCGGATCCTGTCCGGCGCGAAGACGCAGACCCCCTCGAGCTTGCAAACCTTTTGGTCGATCAGCGTCGATACCCATTCGGCCGTTTCCCGAGGCAGACGCCCGATCTCCTGGCCGGATTTCGTGGTGAACCGTGTGAGGACATCGCCCTTCTGGTTGCTGATCATTTTGCCCGTGCGACCCCGTTTCGCAGCGGGTTGAGACCGCGCGCGCTCGATATTGACATGCTCTCCATGCTTGACGAGCCCCACGCCACTCCTCGTAGCCCACGCCCCGACGCCGAATGCGCCGATGTATCTCAGCTGCGGTTGTGACTTCACTCGTGAACTGGCTTTATCTGTGATGTGTGTCCCGTTCGAGGAGACTGGTGGTGTACGGGTTGTGGGAGGAGATGGTTGCGCGGGGAGGGTTCGCTCGCGGGGTAGGAGTGTGGTCTGGCTCAGGGTGGCAGTCGGAGGGCTTTTCCAGGATCCATCGAAGAAAATGTTCACGGCCCGTTCGAGGTCACCACCGGCTGCTTTGCGGATTTTGATGAGGGTGTGTTGAGGGACGTCTTGTCCAACTATGGCAAGGAAGGTGGCCGTATCAAACCCGTCGTCAACGCTCTGTCGCTCTAGGATTTCTGCGTCCAGATGGGACGGTGGCAAGTCGTGCTTCGCGGGAGAAGCGTCCTCATGAGGGACTGCGTTGGCGTCTGGTAAGCCGATAGGTGAGTGTGACGAGGTCAAGTCAGCATCTTGGGTGTTCTGAGCAAGGGACTCCTCGTTAGAGTCCTTCAACAGGGTCGAAGCCGGTACTTCAGAGTCCGCAGCAGTGAGACCATCGCTGGCTGAGTGAGGAGGCGAAACACCCTCATCGTCGGCGAAAAACCGTCGCTTCTTCAAAGGTCGTCCATCGGCATCCTGAAAATGCATCCTGCGTCAATCATCTCCCCCTGAATGTTGCTATTTGGGGGGTTTTTTTCCAACGAGCCTGGGGCGAAAATCCACTTAAGCAGAAAGAATGAGACGCGCCGAGACGCGATTTGCAGGTCGGCCCGACGTCATTTCGTGTTCCACCCGCTTCGCCCAATAAAATTTGGACTAAATCGGCTTGCTTCAGCTTAAGCTTAACCTCGGACTGAACGACATTCGCCTGACCAGAAGAACTGACAATGAGCCTCAATTGACGTGTAGGTGATGCTATCTATTCTTATCGGCTTCCAATTGGACTTCGAACTGACCACGCCTGCGAAGGAACAGTCACATAGTTATATGCAATGTGCCACGGGAGCGATAAACGACCTCCGCAATAACCTCATCTAACCAAAAATCCCCACCCTCCTCCACCCGCACCGTCCCAGCCAGCAATGTCTCTCTCCAACAAATTCATCCAGCCATGTCGCACAAGCGAGCAGCTATGCCGCCGGTCTCTGGCTCGCACGCGACCACAGCGCCCTCACAAGCGCCACTTCCAGGGTCGATCACCCGCAGCGGAAGCCGAAGTCCAAGCTGCTCAAGCCTACTGCTCAAACCTCCTACAGTACGAAAAGCTCCGCTTCCCAGCCTAGCTCTCATCTAATAACCCCTGTGTTGTTATTACAAACAGAAAGTACGATAGCCCAGCCTACCTCCTGCACACCTTCATCCCGCAGCATGCGCGGCCGATGTACTTCGCGCTGCGCGCCCTCAACGTCTCCCTCTCGCTGATCCCGGACACGACCTCGTCGCACACGATCGGCCTGATGCGGCTGCAGTACTGGCGCGACGCCGTGACCAAGACGCTGGCGGGCCGTCCCCCGAAAGAGCCGATCGCGATCCTGCTGGCGGCGGCGATCGAGGAGCTGCACACCCGCACCGGCGGCACCGCGCGCATCAGCAAAGGCTGGCTGACCCGGCTGATCAACGCGCGCGAGCAGACCCTCACCAACGACCCGTACCCGACCCTCGCCGCGCTCGAAACCTACGCCGAGAACACCTACTCCACCCTCTTCTACCTGACCCTGTCCGCGCTGCCCATGGCCTCCGTCACCGCCGACCATCTGGCCTCCCACGTCGGCAAGGCCGTCGGCATCGCCGCCGTGCTGCGCGGCTTGCCGCTCGTCGCGTTTCCGCAGCAGCAGCAGCAACAGCAGCAACAGCAGAACCCTGGCGCCGGGGTCGGGCAGTATAACAATAAGCAGGGCGCCGTGATGCTGCCGCTGGATGTTATGGCCCAGGCTGGGTTGCGCGAGGAGGACGTGTTCCGGCAGGGAGCGGAGGCACCGGGCCTGCGCGATGCGGTTTTCAAGGTCGCGACGCGGGCGAACGACCACCTCATTACCGCGCAGCAGATGTTGAGCAACCTCCGCGCCGGCCAGGATGTGGGGCATGAGTTCGAGCACGAGGGCGAGGAGGGCCATACGTATGAGCACACCCACACCCAGCAGCAGCGGGCGGAGACGCCCTTGGAGGAGGTCAACCGCGCGTTCGGCGTCTTGATGCCGGCCATCCCCACGCGGCTGTGGTTGGCCCGGCTCGAGAGTTTCGACTTCGACATCTTCCGCCCGGAGCTGCTGCGCTCGGATTGGACGTTGCCCTGGAAGGCTTACTGGGCTTTCAAGCGCAAGGCGTTGTGATGGGATCGGATCGTACAGCCGTGAGTCAGGTCCTGACAGGTAGTCTATGTAATATATGTACTATCATTGTTTGTCTCGCAACATTTACTGCCCCGGACGTAATCGTGTGAGCTTGATGATGTTGGGCCATGCTATGTAACACCTGGGGTTCATCTATACAATTAAGGAATCTTTGCAACGTATTTATTCTAGTTGCATCATGGGTATCCGAGCAACAAAATGGAAGAATTTAACTCTAATGCCAAGGGGTCAGGTCTTTTCCGTGGCCTTCTTCCTCTGTCGCCTCTTTCTGGAGCTGGTGATGAGTCGTTTCTGCGCGAGCGAAACCACGTAGCGCTGGAGTTTGTCGCGCCTGGAGACGCCATTAGTATTGCTCTTGGGGAGATCAGGGAAGAGACAATCTTACATCAGAAACATGGTGGTCGCAAAAACGAACGGAACGGCGATCATCCAGAAATATCTAGGCGTTGACGTTAGTGTCGAGGTTAGGGGAATTTTGAACTGGATGAACGCACGAATCGCTGTGATGAATGCCAGAGAAGTCATCAAAGTTCATTCCGAAGTAGCCCTACAGGATGGGATCAGTAAAGAAAACCTCGTGGCAGCCACTTGCTCTAACATACCGTCAAGAAAGTCAGAGGGAGGTAGAAACACGTCACCAATGTGAGTTGCTTCATGCTCTCGTTCTGATATGCACCTGCAAAATATTAGCTCGCGCTCAAACCCAACGCCGTGTGTCAAAACTCACCGATGGTGTTGAAGATTAGATCAATCATGTTATCGGCAGCCCTTCGCATTTGGTCGTAGCCTTCGACAATCGTGATACAGTGATCCAGTGCATCACCCAGATAGGTGTGGCATAGAGGACTAATCGATACGCTCGAACCACCTAGGCTTTTCAGATTTGGCGTGGCGGTCCCGATGAATGGCGTCCCGTCGCCTGCAGGGCTACTCGTACCAAGGTTCTTGAACGCTCCTAGGCCAGGCGTATGAATAGGTTCCGAACGGTGGTCTCGCAGTGCGTTTATTATCGTAGCGATGGGCTGCATGAAGTTCCGCAGAATAGCAATCTCAGATGTGAGGACGTAGAGACTCTTAGACTGGTCAACGTCAGGGTCGGTCAGGACTTCCAGTTCCAGGTCACCTATGGCATCCTGGTAGGCGGTCGTCACAGGTATGGCAAGGTCAATGATAGCGTCTAGTATCGCCTGCACAATCATACTAGCGTCGCACGACTGACGTAAGATAGTCTCCGGGGAGCTGAGTCGCCTCACAATCGGGGCTTCGATATCGTCTGCACTGTTCTCGAAGAACGACGTCACGGTATTGTCTGAGTGAAGGAAAATAGACACCTGTTCGAGAATAACACACAACCGCTTCGCAGCCAGGATGGCGTGACGCTCCATGAAGGCGATACGCTCTTCGTTTGGGCCGCCACGGAGCCGCTGAATGCTGCGAGGTGGGAGTTCATTCTCCAGGTCACTCAGGCCGGACACTTTGGAGGCAGCCTTGCCTAGCCCACTGGAAGTACGTCTACCTGTACCATCTCGAGCGGTTGACTTAGATCGAAAGATATCCTTCAAAGCCTCCAGGATCACTGTGCGTTTAGTGGGCCGTTTCAGTGAAATTGTGCTGGCCGTGGAGCTCTTGCGATCGTTCGTCCATGGGCCGTGTCCGCCGTCGCTGCTATCATCCGAATCACTATCCTCCTCATCATCTTTGAGCTTGATCAACTTCTGCAGCTTTAGAACGATGTACGCATGATCCGAGTACCAGTCCACTTTCGTGCGGTTAGTCTCGTTGATCAGATCCTCGATGGCAAGCCGATGCAGGCATTTGTGGTTGCCGAGAATTCGAATCACATCCCAGCTCAGCCCATTCACGTTGATCCACCGACACTGCACCCAGGGCTCCCTCTCGCGCGCAAGAAAAGCTTCTAGAGTATCGTTGTCGAGGATGTATTGGCGCATCTCGTGTTGCGAAAAGTCCACAACGGAGATCTCACAGCGTTTGTACAGGTCGGCGGCAGTTGCAGCCATCCACTCGGCATTGTGGGCCGGCAGCGGTTGATTTGGATCGATGCCCGGCTCCTCACCAGGCTGCCAGTTCTGGTCATGGGGGCCATCTTCACGATAGTATGAGCGCGCGGTGGTCGAACGTCGCCTGCGAATCCTGGCAGTGTCCCGCGAGTTGAGCCTCGCAGCCGTGGTAAACGCGTCCGGAGACGGGGGCGCCCGCGTGGTTGGCGAGATCGGTGGATCCTGAGGACGTGGGTTGGCTTCGATGTCTTCTACCTGGTGAGAGGTGGATGGTAATTCTGCGGTCTGCGCATGGTCAAAGGAATGGACACTCATGGCATCCAGATTACGGCCTGGCTGCGTGGGCTTGGGTCAGTGGAGAAGTTCTGCATTGAACATGGATTCAACATCCAGGGTAGTTTTGAGACACAGAGAACAGAGTATGCCATAAGTTGATCAGCCTGAGATGATGGTTGTCGGAATCCTTCAAAGCCTGGAAATCTCGGAGATTTGTAGGATTTGTAGTGATGGTGTGCGGCAGGTGCACGGGGCATTTGCACGAAGATGCCGCCCGTAAAGGGGATGCCGCATCACCGCGGGGAAATGACGTCGACTCGGTCATGCCATTCCGCGGACGATACATTCTTCAGGCTTAATTTAAACACTCAGTATTACAGTGAAGTCAGTTCGGACTATAGTAAGAAGAGGACTAAGGAGAATAGGTAAGGAAGCATAGTTCGTCAACGTCAACTAATCAGAGATTTAAACTTTGCAAGGTTCATGCAATCTCTCTTGGCTACAGTGAGCATATCTCTTGGCTTCTTTCTGTGCTGTAATGTTCCACCACTTGCCAACCCGCTAGAAAACAACGAAAGGTTCCAGTGCGATTCCAGTCTCCTCGATGGTCTAACGAGGGGCCTCTCTTGCGTTGTGTGGGCCAGAATCATAGTGCTCATCTTCGAGACTCCTGCCTGAACGTCTTGCACACTCGACGACATTGCGAAAGCCCAAATCCCACTTGTAGGTCTCGTTGCAACAGCGAAATGTAGCGAGATCACCATTGTGTGTTGTGAGAGAGGCTCCAATCGCCCTACTCTGGGCCACTATGATGTCCGAAGGCTATGGTCGCCGCTACTATGTACAGCCACGGCAGCCCTCGCCCAATGCACCATGACATGTCGTAACGGAGTAAAATCGGTAGTCGTCAGGGAGCATTCATTATCAAGTTCGGTGGCGAGATCGCAAGGTCTGCGCAGTATGATCCTCCGCCCTGAGAACATGCCGGGAGTTTCATACTCCGCCCTGGTCACTCGCCGAGCAAAAGCTCCCTCATGCAGCCGAAGTGTTCCCTGTGTTTCTCTTACGCCGCAGCAGCTTTATCTGCAGAGGTATTAAATGTCGTTTCGGACCTGCGACGTCGTTTCGTGACAAAGGCTTCCGGCACACCGGGCATGTGCCTTTCGGCGATTTACTAGTAGAGTCTGACCGTTCTTCGCTGAACTTTAGGGTATCGGTGATGCATTTGTGACAAAAAAGATGTCCTATGCAAAGTTAGATTGAATTGTAAGCGTTCGCCCCCGCCAATCTGGAGTTGACACTGGAATCCAAGGCCATACCACACACAGTGCTGGTAGCATCTACGGGAGTGTCCATACACACGGGGCACTTGTAAGCAGCAAAGATTGATTCAGCATTATTCTCAAGTGACTGCTGTGCGAGAATGGCATCTGCCCGCTGCTTCGCCTGTGTTTTCGAGATTTCCGACATCTCCTCGGTCTCGGTCAAGTCGATAGATGCCGCCTCACTTGACTGTCCGTCAAGCTGGAAGGGAGGGGCTAGGCGGCGTCGCTTGGGGTCTGGGAACTCCGTCGGATGGTCACTTGGGCTTGTTGGTGACGAGTCTAAGGAGTAAAGGCGGATATCCATGGTCAAGACTTTAGTTTCTAGAAAACAAATCAAGAGAGTGAAGGCAGACTGAATCGTCTCAGTCAAGCGTGGCGGAGAAGATCTGCTGCCACTGATCTTATCGCGGTTGGCGATAAGCGGTTGCTACCTTTGATAGGAAGGCGGTCGAAGTCACGGAACATCGATATTCCAGTATTTCTCATCATGACGCCGAAATAGCCCAATAGGAAAGAAAAGACGATCGCCCGGCCCTCCTTGTGAGCCAAAAGATTCCAATCCCCAAAGCTCGGTCGCACTCTTCATTGCGCAGCATCGGCTGCGACATCTTATATCGTCATACCATGGACTGATCTATATCACTTTATCCGCTTGACATCATGCTCTGGAGTATCCCCTGCGCTCCCTGTCGCAGGGATGCAGCTATCTTTTTCTCGCAGAGATTGCGCTCGTCTCGCATCCCTCGCAAAGGGACAGTACAAATATCAAGATACCTCGCTACTCAATCAACCACCAATGAGTCTGGTAGGAAGAGCGCGGATCAGGGCTCACTTTCCGGTAACTCATAGCTCGGATCTATAAATGTGTCAGGAATTAAGTACTAATGGCGCAGTCCCTGCTCTGGCTAGGTTTAACGAGATTGGAGTTCAACAGCTGAGCGACCATGTATATTCTCAAGTATTCCCCACGAAATCAGATCCTCCCGACCCAAAACTTGTCGCTTTAGCAAAAGAACATCTATCCAGGCATGATTTGCTTGGAAAATCCCAGGATGCCACCGAGCCCGTTGCCTTCGATATGCCAACCCTCCAAGGACAATCGCTAGATGAACACTTTTTCAAGCTAGGAATGGATTGCTCAGACCCGTACCTGTCGCTTGCAAAGGAATATATTACTGTCAACTCGCCAGAAAAGCCACGCAAATGGGTGAACCGCAGCGGATGGACGAAATATAATTCCGACGGCTCCTGGGAAGCCGTGGATGCACCCAACGAATCGATTCTGACCTTCGACACCGAAGTACTGTACAAAGTACATTCTTTTGCGGTCATGGCTTGCGCAGTTAGTCCTACGGCTTGGTATGCGTGGATTTCGCCTTGGCTGCTGGGCGAGACGGAGAATGAGATTCAACTGGTACCTCTCGGAGACCCATCAAAGTCACGTATCATTGTGGGACATAACATCGGCTATGATAGAGCTCGCGTGCTTGAAGAATACGACATGAGCCAGACTCGCAATTTTTTCCTCGATACAATGTCTCTACACGTTGCAGTCAACGGGATGTGTTCACAGCAGAGACCAACCTGGATGCGTCACAAGAAAAATAAAGATCTTCGGGACAAGATCACCAATGAGAGCAACTCTGTGGAGTTGGCAGCCTTACTCGAAAACAAAATGCTCAGCGAAGAGGAGGAGGAACTCTGGATCGGAAGAAGTTCAGTGAACTCGCTTCGAGATGTGGCCAAGTTTCACTGTGATGTAACGATTGACAAGTCACAACGAGACTACTTTGGCGAGCTTAGCAGGGAGGAGATTGTGGAGAAGCTGGAGGAGTTACTCGACTACTGTGCAGCAGATGTTGCAATCACCCATCGTGTCTACAAGAAGGTCTTCCCGAATTTCCTTGAGGTCTGTCCGCACCCCGTCAGCTTCGGGGCTCTGAGGCATCTCTCCTCGGTGATTTTGCCCGTCAATCAGACATGGCAGGAATATCTCGTCAACGCAGAGGCGACATACCATCAACGACTTGAGGATGTCCAAAAGAAAATGGTCGAGCTGTGCAATGAAGCTCTAAAAGTCAAAGACTCTCCCGAGACATTTACAAATGATCCATGGTTACGGCAGCTGGACTGGTCTGGCCAGGAAATCAAAATGGTCAAGGGAAAGAAGAAGAACGATCCTCCGCGGCCAGCCGCTAGGCAAAAAAAGCCGGGCATGCCTAAGTGGTACAAAGATCTTTTCCCCAAGATCGATGCAGACATTAACCTCAGTGTCCGGACGCGAATTGCCCCGATTCTTCTCAAGCTGTCGTGGGATGGATACCCTTTGACTTGGTCCGACAAGCACGGATGGACTTTCAAGGTTCCTCGCGAACATGCGAAGAAGTACGACAATCAGCCAGTGGTGATTTGTGACATGTCGGAGGAGAAGATCCTCGAGCTCAAAAATGACCGGAAGCATGCTTACTTTAAGCTGCCACATAAAGACGGGCCCACAGCACGATGTGTGAATCCCTTAGCGAAAGGCTACATGCAGTATTTTGAACGCGGAACTCTTTCATCCCAGTATGCCCTCGCTAAGGAGGCTTTGGAGATGAATGCATCCTGCTCATATTGGATCAGCGCTCGTGATCGCATTACGAGTCAACTGGTGGTTTACCAAGATCAGGTGCGAGATGTGGAACCAACCAAGACAGATGAGACTCGTCTAGGTTTCATTCTTCCCCAGATTATCCCCATGGGTACTATCACACGAAGAGCCGTTGAAAATACCTGGCTTACTGCAAGTAATGCGAAAGGCAACCGCGTTGGCTCTGAGCTGAAGGCCATGATCAAAGCTCCACCGGGCTATTCTTTTGTTGGTGCCGACGTGGACTCACAAGAGTTGTGGATCGCGAGTCTCATCGGAGATGCTCAATTCCAGATTCACGGTGGAAATGCCATCGGTTTCATGACGCTGGAAGGTTCCAAAGCTGCCGGGACGGATATGCACTCGCGTACCGCTTCAATCCTAGGCATTTCTCGCAACGACGCCAAGGTTTTCAACTATGGACGTATCTACGGAGCCGGAGTGAAGTTCGCGGCTACTCTGCTGAGACAGTTCAACCCATCGATGAACGAGAAGGAAACACAGGAGGTAGCGAGTAAGCTGTACAAAGAGACCAAGGGCACTCGGACGACCCGGCGCCTTATCAGTGATACTCCGTTTTGGAGAGGTGGCACCGAGTCATTCGTGTTCAACAAGCTGGAGGAGTTCGCTGAGCAAGAAAGACCGAGAACCCCGACGCTGGGAGCAGGTATCACGGAGGCATTGATGCGGCGCTTCATCAACAAGGGCAGCTTCATGACGTCAAGGATCAACTGGGCCATTCAGTCCTCCGGTGTTGATTATCTGCATCTGCTGATCGTCGCAATGGACTACCTCATCCGTCGCTTCAACATCGCTGCCCGACTAGCGATCACCGTGCACGATGAAATCCGATACCTCGTCAAAGATGAAGATAGATACCGCGCGGCCCTCGCGCTGCAAGTGGCGAACGTCTGGACCCGTGCTATGTTCTCGGAGCAAGTTGGGATCCACGACCTCCCCCAATCTTGCGCCTACTTCTCCGCCGTCGACATCGACCACGTCCTCCGCAAAGAAGTGGACATGGACTGCGTAACCCCATCCCATCCGCACAAGATCCCGCACGGCGAAAGCTTAGACATCGTCAAACTCCTGGACAAGAGCGAGCAAGCGCGGCTGGATCCTTCCATCGAGCCCAGCATCCCCCCGACCCCCGAGAAGTACGCCTACAAACCACGCCCGACGGTCATGTCCGCGCTGCCCGATTCCAACCACCCATCCTTCATCCGGGCCCAGATCACCAAGGACGACGCGGAACTTCGAGAGATCGTCAAGGAGCTCACCAAAGAGAAAACCGCGATGGCCGCAGCAGCGGCAGCGGCAGCTACTCAGTCCCCCGCCGCCGGCACCAGCCAGGGCCGCGGCCGCTCCCGCACCACCGCACTTCCAGCAGCGGAGCCCCAAAAGGCCATCCTGATGGACGTCGGCTCGACCATCTACACGCCCGGCTACCGGGGCAGCGGCTTCTCGCAGCAAGGGAGCAGGTCTCCCCACGTCAGTTTCAATCGCCAGAACTGGAAACCCCGACATTCCGCCCGCGCGTGATCATGGCTCTTCTTGACTCCTCAACCCTTCCTCAACCCTTTTCGGTCCTTCTCCTGTGTATATAATAAAGCTTGTCTTCTTGTTGGTCGACAGACTGACTCCCAAGCTACCACCCCAACCTCATGTCCCATCCGATCTCTCTCACTCTCTTCTTCTGACATGTATTATGTGTGCTGGAAAAATCTTTTGTATTGCAAAAAAAGCATTGGAAAGGGCGTCGAAAGGGGATGTTGCATTCTGGCGGGACGTTTTTTTCTTCTCCTTTTGCTTGCTTCCAAATGTGGACGACATATATCCGCTGGATTTACATTGGTGTTCTAATTGGGGGCGGTGCAATTTTGATGTGAACTATTTGAATCAAAATCAAAAATAAAAAATCAAAAAGACCTTTTTTCTGTGCAAGATTATATGAGTAGAAGGAACTCGTGCTGACGTCTACGTTCTTGATCTTTGATAAGATCGCAAGTAAAGCTTAACATGATTAGATGAATGAGATTATATAGGAGCAATGATCTTTAAGGAGCTAAGCTCTACTCTTGTACGATAACGGTAATACGATGCAAAGACATTCCATCTCTCACGCCTTCTTCCTCCCGGGGTCTAGGGTATTCCTCCTACTCAGCCCATTGTTCTCCCCTCCGCGCAGCATGGCGTCGCCTTTCCTTCCGAGAACCACCTCCAGGGCCTGGATCAAGGCGGTCGCGTCGTACTTCATCCCCACGGCGACCTCCTCCCCATCGGCGCCGGGGCTGGTGATCTTGCGCCCGTAGAGCCGGAGGGTCTCGATCCCCATGGCGGCGAGACGGTACTTGTCCACCGCGGGGGTGCCGGGCCCTTCCAGGTGCAGAACATGGGTGACGTAGGCGGTGTACGGCAGGGGCTGGTCACTCAGCGGTTGTTGGTTTGCGTCCAACACGGCGCGGCCGCGGCTCTCCTCGCCGGCGCGGGTGATGGCCTCGACGAAGTCGGCGGCCGAGAAGGGGGCGGCGGGGGGTCCGGTCTCGCGGTCGAGGGAGCCGTTCAGGATG